CGTAAATAACTGAATACAGGTGTAAATGTTTGAAATGTAGTGATGTGTCGTTCGTGAACGATCCGTTCATTGCGTGTAGTCCGATCACTAAATGCGTGCGGTCTATATGGGCCATCAACAGATATATACATACATTGTGCATCCATACGCATTAATTGTCCATCAGTTTACTTTGGATAATGTATGCTAACAGTTTTTTTTATTATTTTTTTTTTTTTTTTAGGAATGTGTCTGCATCATGCTCTCCTTTGCCAGCACCTCGCAGAGGGACACGCAGGTGTCGTTCAGTTCTCAGTGCGATCGAGAATCATACTGAGTAAGTGCACAGACGTAGTATTTTACAGATGAAATTTAGCCTAATTGTGTTTACATCGTCATAATGTAAAAGTAGGCTACCTATTCTTGTGTGAAATTACAAAAAAAAAATTATCCATGGCAATTAGTGGCATAATTCTTTGAGGGCTGTCTTTTCGCCTGGGGTCAAATTGTGGGTCTCACCCAAACCCCAGTGTAATTATTTAAAGGCAAAATTGTCTCTGTTTCTTTGGGCAGGCTGGACAACCCGGGCTCCCAACCGGAGGGGTGAGTAAAGGGCATTTTGGTATGCCTGCATGTCCGCTAACAATTCCTTCTTTTTACAACTCGACGGGGTGGGGATATAAGAAAGGCCTTTCTTAAGGACTGAGGTTTGGTCATCTGTTAACACAAGGGACTTGGATAAGTTAATGATAAGCTTGTGAGAACCCCATTTTGGGTTATCCAGGTTTAAAAGTTTAAATGCGATGCCCAATGTGTGAGGAGAGCTCTTGCCGTGGCCGGTCTCCAAAACAAATTGTGATTACTGGATAGGTGCCAATTAGCTGATCAGTTTTGTGGCAAAATATTATTATATTTTATTATTATTATTCCTGCAAAAGCCCCTGTAGTATGATTGCTAGTGTGTGTTTTTTTTTTATGCTTACAGATTCCAAGTCGAAATGAGCGCATCAGATAGCACATTAAACGAGGGTGATAATAGATCCTACGAGTACCCGTAAACTAGTTTTGCCATATCGACCTGAGACAGTCAGTGACCTTTTGTTGCATCGAAAAATAAACCTCAATGTGAGTTATGCCTTTAGGCTACAGTTTGAAGATCCTGAGTTTGGAAATGCATTATGTGATCTCGAGAACATTGATGATCTTCCCTCCAAAGCAACTGTGAAGCTCATCAAAACACTTTGAGCTGGATATCCATTCTACTGACACAGAAGACACATCGTTGGCTTCAGACACATAATCCTCTTCTTCTAAGCGCACAAGCAGCTGGGGCCTGATGTGTTTGATCTGCCAACATTTTCGTATAACGTTGAGTTTGCCTTGAGAGAGGGCAATTCAGAATTTTTTTAAGAAGGAAAGCATCTTACATTGACAAGGGATCAAAAACAACATCTTTGAGAGAATGATTGATACAATTTACAGCTTCAAGGCATACCCAAGTGATACTGAGTTTCTCAAGCAGCTGAAGCCCTGGTGATGAAACACCCCTGTTTGAAGGAAAATGGCTCAAGAACTGGTCATGATGGATGGAAAGTGTCCTTGAAGTTCAAAATGAAATTGTTGATGAGTAAGTTGGTTTGTGAAAGTTTGAACGAGTTTTAAAGTAGTTTAACGAGTTTGTTTAACGAGAATCTTTAAGATATTAGGTTAAACTTATTTGGCTTGCTGTCTGCTGGAGAGGGGCTCGATGAAGCAGCTTCAACTCGAGCTCTGATATACCCCCGCCAGTGGCTAAATGTAGGACCTGTTAATTAAAGGGCAAGGTACCTAAGATGAAGGTGGAGTTTGGGGAGGTGGAGGGATACTGGAACAGCTGATACTAGGGAGAGGTAAGCGGCTGCTTATATACTCTGTTTGTTGATTGAAAGATTGGATGGGCTCGCTCCTCCCTAACTTACGTTTAGGAACTTCATTTAAATGTACCTAAGTGTACCTGAAATAAAAAGAGTAATACAGGTTTGTGGCTCTTAATTTCTTTTTATTAATTAACACTTGTGAACATATTTTCACTGTTCTTTTTTTTATAAATATAGGATTTGTATTACATCTATATTCATTGAGTCGAATCAGAAATCGAAATCAAAAATCGAAATCGAATTTGAACATCTGAATCGATACCCAGCCCTAGAGTAAAACTGTTTGGTTTTAGTTTCTCAACACTAGCATAAATAACAGTTGATATATTAGGCTACTATTGTTATTATCAGTAACATTAATTTTAGTTGATCAGTATTTATTATGCTAATGTGTTTGAATATTATCACAAATAGCATAATAGTTCAATTAATTATATATATTTTTATTTAATATAAATTATTTTAATTAATTTTGCTCCTCGAAATGAAACCAAAACAAACACTTCTGAGGTCAACTTTTCCAGGATTATTATTACTATTAGGCTATTATTATTCCTCATAAAGTACATGAATCTGATGGATCACCTCATATCATTTGCGTTTGAATAGCGCGCGCTCTCCGTGGGTGTATTCCCATTAGACTGACATCTCTCTCTTTTCATACAGATTACATAAACAGAGAATATTTATTTTAGTTTTGAATTAGATAATTTAAAAGTACACACTTAAATGATTATAAAGATATATTGCTCATGCCTGGGTGAATAGTATTCGCTGAGTTTTGTTTAAGTTTAGAGACGTGCTCCAGAAAAAAAGTTCACGGAGACGGAGAGGCAGCGTTTTGTCGACCCCTAAGGGTTAATATAACTTTTACTCACCTATTGCTAGATGGAGTCTGTGGCCAAAGCACTGGAGTCTAGTCCAATTATTTAGAAAAGCTGCCTTCACCACATTAGCTCCGATGTCTGTTATAATGCAGACACGAATGAATTAGAATAATGCAGATAACGAATTTGCTAACGCGCCACCCGTGCGCTCATTTATATATTTATTTTCTCTTGCGTCCCCGCGCCTTTGAGTTCATAAAATCCAGGTAAGTAAGAAATCAGTCAACAAACACGGTGAGTAATGTCTTCTTGTCCTGTTATTGTCACCTGTGTCACATGTCATATGTTTAGTATAGCCTTCTCCGGTGGCAATATAGGATTTATATGTGATAAATGCAAGGAGACAGTCAGGCTGACGGAGAAGATTTCAGAACTAGAGACACGCATCCAAACTTTAATTGAGGATGGTAAGAATGCTAGATCTTTAGATAGTGTTTTGGATGCGCCTAGCATAGTGAACTCTTTACATGATTCAGTTCCGGCTGAAGTAGAGCCCGTGCAGCAGGGCAGATGGGTTACTGTGAGAGATCACCGCTCTAGTCGCGGATCAAAGAACCACTCTTCCGTTCCGATTCCCATAACAAATCGATTTGCCCCACTCAGTGAAACACCCACTGAGAATTCTGTTGATTGTGCCCTGGTAATTGGTGATTCGATCACACGGAACGTGAAAATAGAGACACCAGCCACCATAGTCACATGTTTGCCGGGAGCCAGAGCGCCTGACATCAAAGCAAATTTAAAAGTGCTGGCTAATGCTAATCGTAAATTCTCTAAGATCATTATTCATGTCGGCACTAATGATGTTCGACTCCGCCAGTCGGAGATCACCAAAATTAATATTAAAGAGGTGTGTGAACTCGCAAGTACGATGTCAGGCACTGTAATTTGCTCTGGTCCCCCTTCCTATACGCAGGAGTGATGAGATAGTTAGCCGATTGGCCTCACTGAATGGTTGGCTGTGGAAGTGGTGTCCGCAGAATAATATAAAATTCATAGACAATTGGAAAAGTTTTTGGGGCAAGCCTGATCTGTTGAAAAGAGATGGTATCCATTCCTCCTGGGCTGGTGCTGCTCTTCTCTCTAGTAATTTGGCTCATAGTCTTAGAGCTAAAACATGACAATCTGGGGCTCAGGTCAGGAAGCAGACAGACTGGCTGAACCGACTGTCTGCCACACTGCAAAAAATGCCTTTCTTGAAATAATCCAGATTTACTTGAATCTAGTTAAAGTGAACTAAAATCAAGCAAAAAAATCTGCCAATGGGGTAAGCAAAACTGACTTGATAAGAATTCTTGAAAATAGCAAAAATATCTAGTCACTGATAAATGCAATTAAATCTTAAATCTTAAAACTAGGCAAAAATGCTTAAAACTATGCAGTTTTTACTTATTATAAAAATTGAATAATAAATAAATTTAGCGAAAATTGCATTAAAACTAGAACATTTAATCTTAAATCTAGCCACTAAAAAAAATATGTTGGTCTTAAAACTAGACAAAAATGCTTAAAACTATGCCGTTTTTACTTATTATAAGAATTAAATAATAAATAAATTTAGTGAAAATTGCATTAAAACTAGAATATTTTATCTTAAATCTAATCACTAATAAACCATTGGTCTTAAAACTAGACAAACATGCTTAAAACTGTGCAGTTTAAGCACTGAATATTAAGTCATTTTTAGTGGATTGCTTTAAAACTAGAAAATTAAACCTTATTTAGATTTTCTTTAAGATGCGAGACCTGAAAATGGATGAAAATTCTTGAAACAACCCAATAAAGAAATATAGTACAAATATATACATTTAAATAAATAATCAAACAACATATTCAGTTTTGCTGAACATTTATTAAAGAACATCCTCTTTAACAAATGGAGCACATAAAGCAGGATGAACTAATTCCTAGGCTATTCAACTGACATAAGGAAGTGTCAGTGTCATAACATGGCACATCAACAGCAAATGTTCTGCATAAAAAGGCTATGCCTCAGTCTGTAAGCTGCATACACTGTATAACCTCAAACAGCTTTAAACAGCAATTACTCAATTCATGTATTGCATTAATACAATTGATTCAAGAAACACTACTGAAAAAGCAGGGAAATCTCATAATAGCACAAATCAAGTGCAAATATAATGAGGAACAAACCAAAAAATAAAATAAAAAACAAATACTCTATCACTGCCTCAGCCATACAGGTATGCAACAGTATTTATTCAGCAAACATTTTCCATTCATGAATGGCCTTTTTATAAGAGGGGGTTGCATCGTCCTGCTCATGGAGGACATCTACCAGAACTTCTGTTTGCAACACAGACAAGAGTGTGGCAATACACTTGGGATAGGTCAGGTGGAATGCATAGTAATATGCCAGGAGGTAGAGAAGCCCCTCGTGGAGCAAATCTTTCTCAAAGGTTACAACTGGAGTTGTACCTACAACCACCATGCAGTTCTCCTCACCAACCAGCAAAACAGGACTAGAAAGCACACGCCGGTGGACGAAGGTATCAGGGTCCGGTGAACGAAGGTATGAGGGCTAGAAAACCAAATATATAAATACAGAATTTAGACTACAAACACAGCAAAACAGCAAAATAAGTAGTCAAGTCAAGTCACCTTCATTTATATAGCGCTTTTAACAGTATAGATTGTTTCAAAGCAGCTTTACAGTGATAACAGGAGATTACAGTAACAGATTGTTTTGGATTTACAGCAGCTCTAGAATAAAGTTATTGTCCAGATAAAGTTCGTTTTTATTGATTCACTTGCGCTTACACCACACCGTTTTAACTGAAAACAGAAAACTTTGATGTGTTGTGGCAGACCATTTGCAGAACAGTGTTTGGTCAAGTAATGTTTGTTTCATTTGTTGTGGGATGGAAGTGGTTAATGAATAAATATGGAAGCATCCCAGAGCAAGACACTTTCAACTACTCTAAATGTCTTTTGAGAGATGGGTTTTGCTTAAATATGATCAGATTGTTTTTATTTTTAGTAAGCGTTATATTAATTTGGGAAGATAATAAAAAAAAGCCACTTTTAAGCTATTTTAATCAGTTTCAGTTGTTGGTGTACTGCTTTGTGGTACTGAGGGTAGTATAAGTACATATGTGATACATCCAATTTAAACCATTTATAAATAAAGGCCATTTACATGTAACAGCATTTAAATCCTTTTTTAAAAAAGCCGCCATTGACAGCTATTTTGACACACTTTGAAGGCCCAGAAAGGCAGGAAAGACATCATTAAAATAGTGCATGTGACTAGAATGGTTCAATCTTAATTTTATGAAGCGAAGAGAATTTTTTTGTGCACCAAAAATACAAATTAATGACTTTATTCAACAATTTCTTCTCCTGTATCAGTCTCTGACGCACAATCACGAGAGCACCACGACGTATGCGTGTGGAAAGCCGGGTCCTCTGTTATACAGCGAGATACATGCGTCGTCTCATCATCTGAAATATCCAAACTTTCAAGATGTGGCATGACAATATCACAATCGATGCAGCACACACTCTCCTGTTCAGTAGCCATCACTTGGCACTGATGATCCACACCACCAGCTCTTCATTGCCCTCTGTCTTTCAGAAGCTTGTGGCTGTGTTTGTGTTGCAGCCTCTTCTATCTCTTTTAGTTCGTTCTCTGTATATTCTGGTTTTAAAAAAATGCAATTCATCCTCTGTTTCGAAATCTGCAGACATAGTTCTGAACTGTTTTATGTTGTGTGTGTGTCTTCCTCTGCTTGTAAACACAGCCGTCATCACCACACACACACAAGTGTATGCGTCGTGGTGCTCTTGTGATCAGAGAGTGATACGAAAAAGAATTAATTGTTGAATAAAGTCATTATTTTGTATTTTTGGCGGACAAAAAGTATTCTCAGCGCTTCATAACATTAAAGGGATAGTTCACTTTGAAATTCATTTTTGGTATGTTTTAGCTTACCTCAAGGGCATCCAAGATGTAGGTGTCTTTGTATTTATATCGTACAGTATTTATATCGTTTTTACCTCTTGTAACCACAGCCACATCCAAGTGATCTGAGGGGGTGGCTGTGGTTACAAGAGGTAAAAACGATATAAATACTGTTCGTTTTCTCACACAAACCGCTCGTTTCGTGTCTTAGGCCATCAATGTGTACTTACATTTACGAGTCATTAAATCATGTTTAATTTGGACTTCTCTGTGTATGCTCTTTGAGGTGGTGACCATAGACCTGCATTATAGGACTGACAGACAAGAACGGTTTGACCTAAAAATATCAAAATTGAAACTACTGCGGAAACAAAGACACCTACATCTTGGATGCCCTTGAGGTAAGCTAAAACATACCAAAAATTAATTTCAAAGTGAACTATCCCTTTAAGGTTGAACCACTGTAGTCACTTGGACTATTTTAACAATGTCTTTCCTGCCTTTCTGGTCCTTCAAAGTGTTAATTAAATAGCTGTCAATGGACCCAATGGTAATAATAAAAAATATAATAATAATAAATTATTATTACTGAAGTAAAACTCACCGTAAGAACGTGGAAAATAGCCTCACTGATTGGGACCACTTTCTTGGGTACTGCAGAGCCAGATGGGAAGAGCAATGGCAGGGCGGTAAAAACAGCAATGGCATGTTCAACTAGTAAAAAAAAAAAAAAACACAAGAGAGGAGATCTATATTGATATGCACTAAGAAATTTAACACTTTATAATAAGTATACAGTAAAAACGTACTTGCAAATCATAAGCAAACTATTAGTTTATAGTTAATTCATAGTTCATATTAGGGCTGTAACGATACACCAAACCCACGATTCGGTTCGTATCACGATTTTTGACCCACGATTCGATTAGTATCGCGATTCTATCACGGGGGCGGGGCTTTGAGGCGGGGTTTGGCGTGAAAAAAAGAGAGATTTTGAGAGAAAAAAATATATTTTTATTAAATAACATTTGAAAAACCTGTATAAACGGAACACCAAAGAACAATATTAACTATGCAAATTATTAGACTAAACTAGGCAGTGTAGGCTGCTGCTTTTGGGTTGTTTTCTGTCCTCCAACTAAATTGATTTCGGGATGGTGCCGTAGGATATGCATCTGCATGTTGGACGTGTTGCTGGTCATTTGAGGAAGCTTCTTAAAACACTTGCGGCAAATTGCGTGGGTCTTGTCGACTAGCCTATACGATTTCCTCACGTTCTTCAACTAGCTCGCGTCACATGGAAAGGTACTACTCACATGACACGTAACATGTAAAAAGACGCTTACAAGTAAACATTTTTTTAAAAGTTGGTTGGGATGAGTCACTGAGTATTTAATTATAGAATATCAAATAGGTTGTGTCATTATTGTCTATAAAAATCTCCATGTTTTCGGTGCTGATGCGGTGGTGACGCGTTCATGTAACATGTAAGGGTGGCGCTGCCAATAAAGCACCTAATAGCTGTCACAAAGAACCGGCAAAAGTAATGATTATGAATATGTCTGTAAGGACTGGGCGAGGGTGAATCTGAAAGGACTAAATACATCCTGCTAAAGACCCAAAAAGCCTGGAATGTAAATTTACACACACACACACACACACGCACACACACACGCATCCCCCACAAGTGAAGACCACACTCAGGACAGAGCGTGGTGTCCAGTTACGAGACATTTTTATGACGGACGGGAATTTCCCAAAGAAGGTGATTCTAAAGAGAAAGAAACTTCTCTTTTTAAAAGACATTTAACCAGATATATTTTGATGTGTTTTTATGTGTGTCCAGTTGCCCATGTCACATTGGAATGACTGTGATTCTATCGTAGCTTAAAGTGAATTATAAATACCTTCATTATGCATTTTAAATATAACTGTCTATTTCCATTACTTATACACATAGTTCTGGACACCTCCCGAATGCTTTCGGTGTGATCAATCAGAATACGTACAGTAATATCCAGTAAAATATAGTTTACTATGTTTTCCATCTTTGGAGTGAAAAGAGACCAAAAACTATCATCACTGGTGTTCTTAGTTAACAGCGTTTACGACCCAAAGGAATGTTCACAGAACTGTGGCTCTCTCTGAATTCTAACCAAGGAGGAGAAATGAATCCTGTATTCATATATATATGCTATTATATATCCACTTGAGAATTGTATGAACGATGTATCTAAGTTCCCTATTTCATGTGTTGCCTTTCTGTGGTTTGGTCTATGTTTCTCGACAACTCTAATTGGATAATGTTTCAAACTTTGCCAACTAATGTTTAACCAAATCCATTTGTGGCAAGTTTGGTCTCGATAAACTCCAATCTTCGTTCCCCATTTGTTAATTGACATTACATTTTGCTAAACTTTGTGACACATTAGTATTATAAGAATTGTGAAGATTCTTCTTTTAAACACCCAATGAAACTAGTGATTTAAATGCCTGGTTATAACACAAAGGGTCATAAAACCTCCCTCCAAAGGGACAGCTCCTGATTGGGCCCTCTTCCAAAAGAAGGCGGAAACGTCAGGTCTTCAAAAGGACAAACCGCAGGCTAAAGCCCTCTCTTCCTCCCGTGTCCTCGTGTCATGATGTAACGTCTCGCCTCCGGGCGAGCTCTTCGCCTTTCTTTTATTTGTTTCTAGTTTAGTTTGTGTTTTTCAGTTGTAGATAAGTCTCTGTGTTTAATTCAAATCGACGATTGAAAAGCAAAACCCCGTGACATATATCTTCAGCAAATCCATCTACAAGGGACCTTTAAACGAGCGCGCGCTCGCTTTGAAGGAGAAACACGCGCACGTGACCACGTGACGCGCCGGACCGAGAGACACACAAGCCATGCAAAGAGTTACCTGTGCAAGTATCCGTGTTTGATCACGCTTTTAAGATTTGTTGAAGTCTTGTTGTCTCTCAAAGTTCTGTTGTCTATGTGAATTTGCTATTTAGAAAGATCCTCGGGTCTTTCTAAACTCCCTCTTGCATAACTGCAACTCTCTACATTTCTTCTCTCTCTCTATCTCTATGCATTTCTCGTTCATCGATGCCTTATCATGTTTGTTTGTTTATTATGTTTGTAAATACATATATCCCATGTAACCGTAGTAAATACATAAGTAGTCATGCCTCTATTAAATTAATTATATATTCATTTGATTGAAGTCCCTTAAGTGCAAAAGATCTTATGCTACAAGCTTACTAAAATTAAAAATACCTTAAAGAGTATGTGTTGTGTTTATAGGGCGGGAAACCCAATTCTTCTGGCCAGAGAATTGCGTTTCCTGAAATCCTATAAAGTAAGATGATATTGTGGATCCCACAAATATTATCCTGACAATTGAGCTAATTCATTTTACCTGTTTTGTGAAACGTGGTCCGTGTAATTAATTGCAATCAACTTGTGGTTAATTTCAAGGATTCACATGCATGCAGGTAAAATGACAGATCCTCCCTTATCGGGAGATTTATTAACATGTAAGACTGATCTAATCCAAACATGTATGAATAATTATTAATTACCAATTATTAATTATGATATGCAAATTCCCCACGGATTAGATCCGCCCCTGAATCCTTACATGTCAAATACAGCAAGGAGACATTTTAATTGTTTATTAATAAATAGGTGTTTTCTGTCAGTGTCGGCTGAAAAGAGGAAGTTGACGATGCTGACTCGCGATCTTCGCATTAGTGAACGCGCCAGAGAGAAATGCACTTTTCATACGGATTACATAAGCAGAGAGTAGTCTGTTTTCTTTCGTTTTGAATTGTTCTGTTTAAAAGTAGACATTTCAATATAGATATATATTCTCAGGTCTGTGAGGCAAGGCTACCTTATACGCTGAGTTTCGGTTCATTTATGAGACGAGCTCCAGATCACGCGCCGGCTCCTCCGTGTCGTGATTATCTATTGTCTGCAATATTTACTTCTTATTTATTAAATCCAGGTAATTGGTTGATGAAACATGAATTAAAATTAAGATACAATTACTACAAAACGAAATTCACTTTAAAGAAAGGCTTTGTGCTTTCTGTTTGAGGTCTGTGAAAGTTTTAGTGCCGCTTCCAGAGAACTGTCACGTCGTAACATTGTTTTTTTCTCATAAATGCGAACACGGAAAATAAAATAAAATGAATATTTTATGTTCTGGGGAGAGCCAACCCTTCTTCATCCGATGGGTAGTATTACTTTTGGTTTGTGCAGTGTAATTCACAGAATTATATTTTGCGCTTTGGCCGCTCTGACGTAGCAGCATTCTATGTTCGATCATGAGAGAAGAGAAGTGTCACAACACACAATGTAAACAGAAAAAACAAGCAATACATTGACACTAGAAACATTTTATAATACTAATAGTAATTTAAAGATGTGGTAGCATTGGATCTGGATGGGAAGGATAACTCTGGGAGTTGGAAGGGGTGTGTCGCGATTCTGCCTTCTCACACCGCGATACAGATCGTGGATCTGAGTATCGCGATTTCGATTTTATATCGCGTATCGTTACAGCCCTAGTTCATATATTGTAGTAATTACATTGTTAATATATTAATATGCTATATACAAATAGTGAGTTCATTGTCACTGTAATTAACACAATTATTATTGTTTAATTAGCTCGTAGTAAAAAAAATTTTGATTGGTTATTAGGAATGGTAAATGGACTGCGCTTTCAACAGACCCATGGCCACCAAAGCGCTTTACATATTGCCTCACATTCACCCATCGGCGGTGTCAGCCATGCAAGGCGCCATCCAGCTCGTTGGGGGCAGCTGGGGTTAGGTGTCTTGCTAATGACACCTCGACACTTGGTCAGGTGGAACCAGGGATTGAACCACCAACCTTCCGGTTTGTAGACAACCTACATGAACCACTGCCGCCCATTAGGAGTAAATAGTAGGGATCCACGATGATATCGGGACAACATCGGTATCGGCCGATAAAAGCTTAAAATGACCATCATCGGCATCGGCCGATATGAATATTACTGCCGATGAGCCTTGCCGATAGGGTGGCGTGTTTCCTATGCGCACGTAACGACCGTGAAGAAGCATGAGCGCCAGAAACTTAAACTTCCAACTAGGGGTGTGCGATAATCACGGCTTTTGATCGTGGACGAGTAAAATGTCTCCACGATCTGCTTTTGAAGAAAAATCATAGTATCGTGCATTCCATCAGTTCAATTCTGGCGCCTTCATCTCAACATACTGTACAACGCGACGTTCACATCACATCACATCACATCACATCACATGTAAACGCAGAGGTAGAGTTACACTCACTGGACACTGCAATTCACAAAAGTTAATTATTTGCATGTGCGTCAAATTCTTGCTAGTTAAACATGTCATTCACGTGCTGATGCGCTGTTCTAACATGCGCTATTCTGAGCGCGTTACACCCAGCGCTCACAGGAACTAAAAGCCTGTCTAACCGCGCCTGCATACTGGACTAAGTTATCTTTCGAGTCTTATTGCGCTAATACTGTCAAATACACACAAGGTTTACATAAACAAAGTTGGTTATGTCTAAAGTGAAAGCAAACAGAGAAAATCTGCTTGTCAAATGCGTGTATATTAGACGCGTCGCGTGCAGCTCTTAAAGAGACAGTATCTAATATGTTGCCGCTTGTCCTTAAAGAGATACTGCACCCAGAAATAAAAATTCTGTCATTATTTACTCACTCTAATGTTGTTCCAAACCTGTATTAATTTCTTTCTTGTGCTTAAATATACTATGGAAGTCACTGGAGTACAGCAACTGTTTGGTTAGCCACATTCTTCCAAATAACTTTTATTTTCAACAGAAGAAAGAAATTTATTTGGGTTTAAAACAACTTGAGAGAGTAAAAGATGACAATTTAAATGTTTGGGAGAACTATCCCTTTAATGTTAATAAAACAACAAAACACAAAGAGGAAATCATTCACTGCTCTTGACAGAACTTTAATAGAAGCTTTAATAAGCTTTTTTTGCACTTAAAAAAAATACAAATATATCGGCATCGGGCAAAATTAGTTTGAAAATATCGGCATATCGAATATCGGCCAAAATCCAATATCGTGCATCCCTAGTAAATAGTTCTCTTTAGATTGAGAATGGAAAATGTAATTAATTAAGCGCTTTAAACCAACCTTTATTAGACATTAAATGCATTCATATTCAGTGTTCCTTAAAATGTTTACAAATAGATGTAAACAATAAAATACAAATACAATGAGCAGTTAACTAGCTAATAGTTTGCAAATGATTTGCAAGGACTTTATTACTGTATTTATTATAAAGTGTTACTGAAATTAGGTGTGTATCTATAAAAAATCAATCAATCAATAAAATACAGCTTTACCTCCTTTTAATGTCCTTGGAGGCTTCATGACTTTCTTCATGACACCATAAAACTGAACCTTGGAGTAGAAGGTCTCCCACCTGCCTTTCACCTCAGAAATGTATTGGCAATTGTTTGGCTCAATGATTCTCCGCAGTTCATCCATTGTCTGAGATAAATAATTATTAAAAGTTATAAGAATCATCAACCTGTATGTCTGCAGTTAGGTAGATGATATGTTTTACATCAGTCTAAATTATGCTTCAGTGTACTCACATGGTCCAGTTCTTTGAAGCATGGGTATGCCTGTAATATTTGTTTAGGTCTGTCTTGCTCCTTCAAAGTATTTGAGTCGATGAAATTTCTTCTGGACTGGAACTCCAGGTCTAATAGATGAGTTACAGCAGCTTTGTGTGGCTTCTTTGCTTTGTACATTTCTCGTAGAGTCCTGTAATGTCGTGCCTGTGTTTTCTGGCTGTCAAGGCTGGTGTCTGGACCATCGGCTATAATTCAGCCATACAATATAATTAGAATATATCATTGAACAAGATGCACAAAATCAACAATTCAAGAATGTATGCCACATAAAAAGAAATAAGGCAGAATTAGGCTTACATATATTACCAAAGATTATGGTATTATTTATTGCAAAAATTCAATACATTTTATAGTAAATTTTGATGTACATACATGCTTCATCGATGCTGTCATTGTCTTGCCGTGGGGTGCTTGATTTTGAAGGTGGTGATAGATGAAGTGTTGATGCACTGGAATCAGCATCATAGTCACTTGCCACTGCAGCAGAAGGTTCTTCGTCCAGACGGGCTCTCTTGGAAGGAGGGTGTTTGGCCTTCACAGGACTTCGGATATTTGAAAGTCGCTTCATGAGCTTTTTGGCAACAGAGTCCTGTACAACAGAACAAAATCATCAATGAACAGTTTTGAAACAACGTAAGCAAAAAAACATGCTTTAAAGTCCCACTCCGATCATATTTTGAGCTATTTTTAAACATTCCCAGTGGTCTTTAAATTATTATTATGCAATTTTTAGCCAAAATCACAAAACCTGTGCCGTTTTCTGGGACTTCGCTTCAGCAGAGCGGCAGTAGCTCATTAGCAATTCGCCTTTGCGTTGTGGGCGGAGCCGTTGGCACGGAGACGCCCCTCCCCCTGCCCGTTGCTGAGAGCTCTGTCTCTCCCGCTAGCTTACACCCCCAATACCGGTGGGGCAACAGTATTATATACACGTTAATTATTATTATCCGAAGTTAATCAAAGTTATCACCGATCACCGATCATTATTTCACTGCAAGACGTCGCGTGTGGAGACGCCCAGTGGAGTTACTACGTCACAACTCCAGTCGATTTTAGCCGGCATTTTAGCGTCTGCTACTGATTCACAGCCATTTGAATGTAGAAATACTCAGAAATACAACTTTGAGCTGATTTTTCTCAAGATATGTCCTCTAACATCAGAAAAATGCCACAAGAACATGTTAACACCTAGAAAAACATTATTTTCATCGGAGTGGGTCTTTAACTATAAATATTCAAGTAAATAAAGTCACTTACCCACTCGTGACTAGCAGGGGCGCCGTAAAGGGGTGGAAGGTTAGGACGATTCTAAGGGCCCAGGCTGATTTAGGGCCCAGAAGAGCAGACCCCCTTTTTCTTTTCTTATTTCTTTTCTCGTTTTTATACTTAAATTAAATGTGCAAGGCCCCCTCATGCACTAAATGTGTATTTTGTCCGTTTTGACCATAGATTTAATATTTTAAAAACAAATGATGTATTTACTGTTTCAGTCACACCCCTCCCCCTCAGAATGGTTCATTCCACCTGCGCTGTACGAGCTATGATCGCTAGTGATTGCACTTGCTATGATGCAGACAGTAGGCTACAGACAATGACACAAGCAGGCATGTCACATCAAAATTCAGGGCATCAAAAACGGAAAGCAAAGAAGGAAAGGGAAGACAGAGAACGCCGAAGTCGACAGTATGTCACACAGTTTTGCAAAAATAAAGGTAACTTATGCCGTATTCCTGTATTCCAAAACTTTCAGAGACTACTTATTTTTGTTTAGGGTGACCAGAAGTCCCGAAAAATTCGAGACTTCTCGAAATCTAAGCTGTTGTCCCGAATCCCAAAACAGGCTTTAATTTTCCCGAAAATTATACTAAAGCAAAATCTTGATATAAAATCTATCCGTGGACGAGTCGTCCTGCAGCCCGCCCCCTCAAGTTGCAGCAGCCGCAGCCGCGAGGACATTTATAGAACAGTGAATGTGCAGGCAGCCAGTCTAAACTTTTGTTAACTCTTGACGCGCGAATGGATTCAACGTGTTCACGCGTAGAACTAGACGCGGCAGGCGCGTTTTTTACGCGCTATTTGCCTCTGGTGTGAACGCAGCATTAAAGGAGTGATTGTGACTGTGTGCAAAAAGTAATCTACTACATGCTTAAAAAATTACAAAATCAGTTTGCCCTGTGTGTGTCGTGTGTTCTGTGAAGTGAAGTGACAAGTGCTTCTGCTACGATCGATGCTGTCAAACTTGACGTTCTTCATGTGAATAAAATGCCCCAGAAAATTGAATAAAACATGTGTCTGTAGTAAACATTGGCTATATGGAGTTTACTAAATAGATATTTAATATTTTATATTAAGAAAACTAAATAGGCCAATAAAAATAAGCTGATGTTTCCTGATTGATTAGTTTGACCCATTTGAGTTTGACTTGGAAGTATTAGTAGGCTATGTCAATATGTTTACATTATGTTCTGTTGTAGGCTAAACAAGTACATATTTCTATTTTTATTTTCATTTTGTAGGCTTTGTACCAATCTTTAGACATTTAACTATGTGCTAAGTATCTTTTTAAAGTATACTGGGCATGTTTATTGGGTTAAATTTTATCTGTAAAAAATGTAGGGGGCCCAGAAATTTTGGTTTCCATAGGGCCCAGAATTTCTGGCGGCACCCCTGGTGACTAGATCCAGTTGACTTATCTTTTATCATAGGGTAGTATTCCACTAACCGCTTTGCCATGGCAAGAACTTCATGTTTAGTGGGGTATTTGTAGTCATCTGAAGAGGCTCTTGCAATTGAGATCATATTTGTCATGGTATTTCGGATGAGCCGGCAGAAGAGCTCCTTTGATAAGGTGACTTCACTCTCTTTTCCAAGACGCTGCTGTTCAAAGTATGCGCGTCTCACGTGTTGTAGTTCACTATCAGTGAAGAGAACGTATTCTGGGCTGGGTAACTTCAAAAACTTTGAAGTGCTGGGGTCATCTCGGTTTGAACTTTCATTATTTTCATCATCTGTTGATGAATCTTGGGCTTCAACAGGAATCGTGTGCCCCTAAAATACAAATGTATACTGTACATTAATCAAATCAGAAAAAGTCATTTTATTTTCAGAACATCTCACTTGTATGTGTAAGTGTTAATCTTTAACCACACCAACTTACATATGGTGTGGCTAAAGTACTGAAAATGTCATTTCCACTAACAGGTTAAAAATATCCAAAACACAAGTATTAAGTAAAATTACCTGTTCTTCCTTATGAGTCATAAGCCAAATGGCTTTGCGCCGCAGGAAGTGCTCAGGACCAGGAAAGAGATCTCGGATATCATCTCGTGAGAGAGTTGGTAAAATCTCTTCCCCAATGTTAGCAGCTTAGATTAGAACACAAATATGTTAGTTAGAATAGCTCAGGATTCTAAGCGTTATACTTTCTATGCAGAACTTTTCAGATATTTAAAAAATATATCCACATCATATAGCTATTTAGTTTACCCAAATAGAGAAATTTCTGTTTTGTAACATGGACCTAACAGGGCAGAAATATTAAATCTATTAAATGATTTGTGAGTAAAAAACCAGGCAATAATGATAACAGTTTCATAACACATGACAATAAGGTTATTTTTGTTAGCATCAGTAAATTAATTAAGTATAATGAAAAAGCAATATACAGTTGTAGAGCATTTAAGAACATTGGTTAATAGTAGTACAAATGTTCATTGTATGTTTGTTATGAAATAACTGATGTTAGTGTAAACACATTTAAATAAAAACATTTAGGTAATGCTTTATAATAACTGCATGATATGAACCATCAGTTAGCCTAAGCATTACTAAATAGTTAGGCTAATTCATAATGTATAAAGCACTAATAGACATTAATACGAAGTTTATAAACACAGCTATAGGCTAAATTCTTTATTCTTAATTTATAAGCATATCTATTATGTTTAATAATTGTATTTTAATACTTTATTAAAGTCGTCATGAAACGGAAGTTGAGATTGTCCTTTTTTCCTTATTGTGACATATATCCGAGTTAAACGGCTTCTGAAATTAGAAAAAAAATGTAGGGGCGGGGCTTGATTTCATCCTTTGGGAATTGATTGGATCGTTGGAGGTTGGGCGTTGCTAACAAAATGGAGGCAGATTTGAATGCCAGTTTACAGTCAGGTGTGGAGATAGCGTCAGTCACAATAGCCACGCCCTCTAGTAATAGATTTTGCCCGGAAGAGAAGAGAAGTCGTTTCGAGGGGGGAGGGAAGGGTAACGTATTTAATTAAAGATTATAAGGGTACATGAATTTAAAAAAAATAATGAAGTGCACAGATAAATCATTTATAATAAACACTACAATATTACATATCAAAATATGAATGGTAAAATTTGATTTCATGACGACTTTAATGATCAATTTATCATTTCTAAATTAGTACATTATTTACAAACCAGTTATTTAAGAGCTGTCAGTGGTTCATAAGATCAGTTAGAATGTGCAAGTAAATGATTAATAAACTATTAAAAAGGTACATTTATACATATTATTATTTAGACATATGTGTTAATAAATGCTTTATTCACATGAATTCCTACTGTAATTCATGGTTAATTCAGGTAGTTATAAAGCATTTAGTAGTGGTCAGTTAACTATTTTTGTGAGCTCATCTAAAGTGAGGAATATTTATGCCTCGTAAAGCTTTTACAAAAGAGATCTAAAGGCTCAGTTATCTTCTAAAGTTTAGGTTCTCAATCCTGGTCCTGGGGACTCGCAGCTCTGCAGTTTGTACTCTCCCTCATTTAACACACCTGACTCAGATCATCAGCTCGTTAGGAAAAAGTCATATAAACTGAACTGGGTGTGTCAGATAAAGGAGACATGTAAAATGTGCAGACAGTGGGTCCCAAGGACCAGGATTGAAAAGGAAACAAACACAACACAAAGTAATACACGTCTATGTTCTGTATCACTCGTGTTGTGTTTGATTCCTTTTACTGTTTAGAAGATAACTGAGCCTTTAAATCTCGTATGTTAATAAAGAATTCATTAACACAAATGTCTAAATAATACGAATTTAAATAGTTTATTAAAGCATTTATTAACACACTGAGTAACTGTTACTAGGCCTATATGTCCAAATAATATGAAATGTACCTTTAAATAGTTTATTAATCATTTCCTTACACTTTCTAACTGATCTTATGAACCACTGACAACTCCTAAATAGCTGGTTTAAATAATGTAATAATTTAGAAATTAGAAATTAATAATTAATAAAGTATGAAAATACAATTATTAAACACATTATAGATATGCTTATAAATCAAGAATAAAGCATTTAGCCTATATCTGTTTTTATAAACTGCTTATTAAAAAAAAACTTGCATCACAATTGATGATTGTCAAAACATTTGGTAACTAAACAGAATTTTATTAAGTTTAGTGACAACTTTTACATGGTACAATAACTGGTCTACTGTTTTCTTATTATTGCTGACACAAATTTCAAGATTTCAATTCAATTCTTGTGATTTGATTTTGATCTTGATTCAATATCGATTAATTTGGATAAATATATTAGGCACAGTAGATACATGTTAATTTTTCTCAAGAAAATAATATCTCACCTAGGCCTGATTCTGTAAACATACAGAGCCCTGTCAGCTGGTATTATTATTAAAGGTTAAAAATAACAACTATATAATATAATACATAGCCTAATATATAAACACAATGCGTTTTTTATTACAATAACAATGTTATAATATTTTAACGATATAGGTAAAAGAATATATAATAAATACGTAACATAGTGCACATATTTAGCTAAATATTCCTCCCTATAACTAATTTTTCAAGCCAACTAACTTGCTAAGGTCATTACACGGCTTTCCTGAGGTAACTTTTTTTTACAGTCTATTGGTAACTTGCGTTAAATGTAACGTTATTGTTCTCCAGTTTTATTGACCTCTTTCCACGGTTGAAAAACACTGATTGATATTATGTATGATACATGTATACACATTTCGGTAAGTTGCGTATCTTTCAACATACCTATTGTTTATTCGTTTTTATTTACTATTAACTAGTAAAGAAGAGTAAGAGATATTATTCGGTTCACATGCCGCTTGAACTGAGGCACTAACGTTAGCTACTACAACAGCGCCACATTTACAAGCGCCAAAACAGTTTTTATTGTTTGAATTTCGTAATAAAATTGACAGAATCTGAGAGCTGATGATTCGTTTAATATCAAAAGTAACCTGCTCTGTCTTTGTCTGTCTGTGTCAGTGTCCTCTTCGCGATTTTTCTCTGTGTGAGAAAATGAATGTGGAGCGAGAGCGTGCTGAATGCGTCAGAGTTTGGCAGCTCTCAGCTAATTTCATTCCGTTACAGGTTGTTTCCAGTAGGAAGCATTTTCGATAACAATTCAATTTCAAATACACAGAATGACCAATAGAGGAAATTTGTAACACATTTTTACAAATGACTTACCTTTAAGAGTGGAAATCGCAACACCATCAAGTCCATCCATGGTGAGACTGACTGAAAAGTGCTCCTCATTCGCTGCAGTTTGCGCGTTGATTGCGCATGCGTATTACAAAACATTATGCGTCACAAGATCAACGCGCGCGCGGTTCTCTTCCTCGTCCTGTGTTGTACATGTTTAGTTTGGCACGTTGATTGCGAAGGAAAGATACGATTTTAGACTCAACTCTTCGGTTTTATCTGAGGTACAAAGCTTGCTTTAATTTAACCAGAAACAATGATTTGGCGCTGCGTCATTTGTTATGTATTTGTGGCTCTTTCTCTCAAATCTTTATTGAGTCACATCAATTTTGCACATAGATTGTCCAGATTTCCGCCTGGTTTGTGGAATAGATGGGTGCACTAAAGAGTACAGAGTCTACAACTCTTTTTGGTATCACATCAGACGAACACACTCACAATATCTAGATGGCGTGGGTAGAAGCAGATCACATCGGAGAGAGAGGTCAGCCAGTGAACCTAGAAGAACAGTGAACAGCAACAACTTGTGGGCATATAGTGGACCAACGGCGGTGGATACTCAGGATACTCGCAACTCAAGTAACAGTTCGGATAATGAAACGACATTGGGTAGTAATGTGGATCTACAACCGTCTCTTGCTGATCCTGTGGAACATTTTGGTGATTTTGATGCGTTTGACACTGGTGAAACAGTTTTCGCTGGCTTAAGCAGTAACACCGTTTTACAGTCGCCTCAGAACCCGGACCCACAGGATGTACCGAATGAAACCTCGGATTCGAATCCCTTTCTACTCGGTCCAAACCCAGCAAACATGCCAGTGCGGGCCCACTGTGGGTAAGTGTGGGTTTTCTGTGGGACAGTGTGGGCAAGGGCAAACCCTTTGGGGCCCCATGTGGGCTTTCTGAGGGCAAGCCCACAGTGGGCTTGCCCACAGAAACCCCTCAAGGGCCCCTAGTGGGTTAGCCCATGTGGGGCCCATAGCAGTTTTGCCCATTTGGGCCCCCATGAGGGTTTACTGTGGGCAACCCACTGTGGGTTTGCCCACAGAAAACCCCCTCAAGGGCCCCTAGTGGGTTAGCCCATGTGGGGCCCATAGCAGTTTTGCCCATTTGGGCCCCCATGAGGGTTTACTGTGGGCAACCCACTGTGGGTTTGCCCACAGAAAACCCCTTAAGGGCCCCTAGTGGGTTAGCCCATGTGGGGCCCAAAGCAGTTTTGCCCATTTGGGCCCCCATGAGGGTTTACTGTGGGTAACCTACTGTGGGTTTGCCCACAGAAAACCCCTTAAGGGCCCCTTGTGGGTTAGCCCATGTGGGGCCCAAAGCAGTTTTGCCCATTTGGGCCCCCATGAGGGTTTACTGTGGGCAACCCACTGTGGGTTTGCCCACAGAAAACCCCTCAAGGGCCCCTAGTGGGTTAGCCCATGTGGGGCCCATAGCAGTTTTGCCCATTTGGGCCCCCATGAGGGTTTACTGTGGGCAACCCACTGTGGGTTTGCCCACAGAAAACCCCTCAAGGGCCCCTCGTGGGTTAGCCCATGTGGGGCCCATAGCAGTTTTGCCCATTTGGGCCCCCATGAGGGTTTACTGTGGGCAACCCACTGTGGGTTTGCCCACAGAAAACCCCTTAAGGGCCCCTAGTGGGTTAGCCCATGTGGGGCCCAAAGCAGTTTTGCCCATTTGGGCCCCCATGAGGGTTTACTGTGGGCAACCCACTGTGGGTTTGCCCACAGAAAACCCCTTAAGGGCCCCTTGTGGGTTAGCCCATGTGGGGCCCATAGCAGTTTTGCCCATTTGGGCCCGCATGAGGGTTTACTGTGGGCAACCCACTGTGGGTTTGCCCACAGAAAACCCACACGGGCCCCCAGGCAGTTAGCCCATGCGGGGCACATAGCTGTTTTTCACTATGGGGCCTCCACGAGGGTTTACTGTGGGCAACCCACCATAACAGTACATTGTTTTAAGTTGTTTAACAGTCATATGTTTTAAGATTAAAAGGTTTAAGATTAGAAGCTTAATCAAACTATTTAACGATCCCGTGAAATGTCATAAATGTTATTTCATTCAACAGTCTATAATTAACTAAAACGGCATATAATGGATTATGAGCATGTGCATTTAAAATAACAAATTTGTGACTTATAAGGAATTATAAAAAATAATATGTAACTATATAT